CGAGTAAAAAAAGAGAGATCAGTGCATACATACGCAGTGGTAAAACGAAGATTTTCCAAAAAAAAAAGAATTTTGATGAATGACATAAAAAAAAGAAAGCTATAGGCCGTAGCACTGAGGCAACGACTTGAAAAGGCATAAATATTGAGGAAATGGAAGCACCGCTAGATCAATTCACTTCAAAACATCCTCAAAATAAGCGACTATGGGTAGCATTGTGTGATGAAGTAGGTTTTAGTAAGCACTCGTAACAGTGCAGAAAAAATGGTTGATAAGAAATGGCCAAGAAATATACCAAAAAAAAAAAATCGTCCACCCAAAAAAATGACATTAAAAAAATACCAAATAGCGGAGGCCATCGAGTATCTGCTTGCCATAAATTGCCATAGTCTTTTCGTTGTCTATCAAAGGGCCCCATTTACTTCGTAGCAGTGAACTCAGACTTCCTGAAAGCTGCACAGTTCAACAGGCAAAAAAAAAACTTGCTGAAGACAAGTGAAAATGAAAATTCCAAACATTCCGCTAAAATAACTCTTTTTTTTAAAATGATCGTCAGCATGTGCGTTAATAGCACTACAAACAGCATGCGCCGTTAATACCACCAATTTCGAAAGGTGGATCAAAAGCTAACAATTGGCGTTCCTGGCTTTTTATACTTCTGAATTAAGCTGACTGCTCTTCCTGATCCTTTAGACATTTGTATTCACAAATACACAGAATTGACGATTAGAACAAATTGGAAATGTTGCTGAGACTAGCGCTGCATCACTTGGTGGTCAGCCTAATGGTGATCCTGTCATGCACTAGATTATCCCACTTTTTTTTTTTTTCTGAGAAATAAGAAAAAGCGGAAAGAACTTCCCTTGATAAATGTAAATTAGAACATTGGGCATTTCATATCTCATATGTGAAAAAGACAATGATCCAACGGCCACGAAAAAGTAAGCGTTGAAATTTGTAGCACAACTTCAATGAGGTATTACGATTCCAGTTTTTTATGGATGACAATAATTAAGGCAACTTAGGCCAAGAAGCTGAGTTCGGCTGGTTAGGAAACGGCGAGGCCAGAGACAGCAGATGGATAAGGAAGACTACTGAATGGCAAGTGCGCAATTTTGAAGGGACAAAGGAAAACAAGTCGGTGTGAAGGAAGTATCCATTCGAACGACTATAGAAGATTTCAAATTCAACTACTTGGAACCGCTCGGAACTCACGGGCGCCTAAAAATTTTAGCGGGAAAACTGCTAATTCGGGGATGAGGAACGCTAGAGAGCTGAAACTTTATAGAATTGATCAATACTTATGTGCGAACATTACCCTAAAGTTTCAGCTTTCTAGCTTTTCTCACTCATGAGTTAGGAATTTTCCTGTCAATATTTTCACTTGCTCGTACGCACGTCCTGGGCCGTTCTGAGAAGTTGAATTTGGGATCTTTTGGTTGTGTGTAAGATGATGAGAAACTTAAATTAGGGAATGCAAAAGTAACAAGCTGTGACAACAACTGATGATAAAAGTAAAACATAAAATCGAATCCGAACAAAGTCAATTCGAGAATTTTTAGCATATGAAATGGCTTACCTCCGGGCACTTGTTCCATGATAATTTGGAAAATATCGTTTCCCTGCTCCTTCTTTACCAGTTTGCATCCGAGATATTGTACAATGTTCTGGTGCGAGAGGGTCGAGTGGAGCTGAATTTCTTCCATCAATGGCTGCACTTCCTCTTCATTTTTAACGTCCACTTCTTTCACCACCACTGACCTGTACATGCTTTTTTTGTAAATCACTGGCTGGAAAGAGGAACTTTTGTGCACAAATGACGACTATAGCAGCAGAAAAAAATATCCAACCTTTGCGTTGATAAATCTCTGCCAGCGTACACAACACCATATGTGCCACGGCCAAGTATCACTCGATCACCGTTGTTCGTCAGTTCATATTCAAACTAAAAATGCAAGTTTTGAAAAAAGAAATCATTCTAAAAACTCAGAGTTATTCTACAGAACACACAAAATGAAATTTCTGATCACCTCAAGACGATTCTGTGCTTCACAGTCGTGCAAAACACGCCCGGCATTATTACCATCCAGTTCACTAATCATTTCAATTAACGAAGCCATCACTCTGAAAAACCATAGATCATTTTTTCAATATTTTAAAGTTTTATTTTGCAAAGTTGCAATGTATCCGATTCTAGACCCAAACTTAGAAGCTTACTTATTGCAGTGAGCGGCAGAAGGGAAGACCAAATTAAAATCGTCCGAATTCTCATGCACATACAGAAACAT